TTGGGCATCATCCCGGTTAGACTGAAACTGAGAAGCCTTCACTAAAACAAGAATAACTTTTTGCACAGTTGGAATTTTGATGTAAGGCTCGTTCCATTGGAAAGCTTACTTCCGGGGCTTCAATTTTGACACAAGAATGACCTGAAAAAGAGTTCATATGAAGAAGTTATGCCCGTTTGAAGTTGGACTTGCAAAGCAGATTTTTCCTGCCGACCGGCCAAAACAAATGGCTGACCGACCAAATAGATGGCCGACCGGCCAAAAAAGATGGCTGACCGACCAAGTTTGCTAGCCAATGACCTTCCGAAGTATTCTACAGATTGAATGGATGCCAGCTGTGCTAGCTGGAATGCACAGACTTTGCTCCCCATGCACGTATGTGGCTGTTTTGCACCCTTTGCACCCCTTTTGACCCTCTTTTTTTGCACCCTTTGCTCAAAGCTTCTTGAGGAAGCTTTGACCCCTTGTATTGGCTTCCTCAAGAAGCTTGCACCTTTGCATTAGCTTCTCTTAGAAGCTTAGTCCCTTTGACCCTTTTGTATAGCTTCTTTGAGAAGCTTTATGCCATTTCCTTGCTCTATAAAAGAAACCCATCCTCCTCCATTGTTTTGGTTCAGCAAAATCAGACCTAATACATACATACAACATATATATCACCCTCTCTCTCTATATCTCCCTCTCTCTCTACGTTTGGGTGTGTTAGAGTGTTCAAAGACCCTTGTTCTTGGCCTATTGCACCACACCTCATAGCCATACACCATTACCATTGGACTGAGGTTCTAGGGAGGGTTTATTGAGCTCCAAAAGCTGGTTTTTGGCCCCTGAAGCTACTGGTCTCGAATTTGGTCTTCAAGGGTAAGTTTCTTCCCCTTTTTAGCACTTTCTTGTACCTCATTTTAGCCTGTCTTGCTTGCTGATTTGAGTTTGGTGTATAACATAAAAAAGTTATGTTTTTTTGTGTTTAAGATACTTCATTAAAACCACTTTGGTGTTTGGGGTTGTTTGACCCCTCTTAGGCCTTGTTTGGCCTCATTTTTGTGCATTTTTAGTGAGCTCCGGGACCACCTTGTTTGGGCCTCCTCACCACTGAAATCTTGAAGGATTTTAGTGGTGAGGATGGTGGTTTAAGGTCCTAAGAAGGAGAGGGCCATCCCCTCTCCTTGTTGTCTTGTTTGATGCCTTTTTTGGCCTTACAAAGGGGCCTATATTTGCACACTTCTTGAGCTCGGTTCAGGCATTTTTTAGTGGGTTTTAGGACCCCCATAAGCCATTTCCAGAGTTGTTTTGGTCATATTGAGTGTCCCTCTTGCATGTGTATAACAACCCCTTGCATGGCCTTCCAAAGGAGCACCTCATTCTAACATGTGTTGGCTCTATTTCAGTAGGTATTTAGTGTTTATTTAGCATGTTTTACCTTTGTCCCATGTTGTTTTGTTGACCCTTGGCATGCATCATACACTTGCTTTGTATTCCTCTATTTTGCTTAGAAATGCATCTTGCCTTTGGACCACCATGCTTGCATATTTTGGCTTAGCTTTGTGAAGTTTTTGGTCATGTTTTAACATGCGTATACTGTTCTGTACTGGTTATGTATAAATGCATGGAAAAGCCTTTTTGCATACAGACTGTCACAGCTCAATGGACACTATTTATTTACTGTATTGGCTTCCGCCAGGCCCTGTACTCTGTTTTACTGTATTACTGTTCTACAGGCCTTCGGTAATCTCGGATTACTGGCCGGTTACGGTGCTAAACCCATAGGGCCGGGTTTGGGTCGTGACAATGGCTTATGCTCCATGTTTAAGGCCTTGTGCATGCATGCTTGTGTGTGTTTTCATGCCTTTATTGCATCATTTTGGCCACTGTTTTGGACCTAGCAGAGAGCTGTCCAAGTTAGTGTAAGACCATCCTTTGCATGTTGATGCATGCTCACCTTGTGTGTTGTGGCATACTTGTGTGTTTTTGCATGTTTAGGTTGCTTAATATGATGCATGCCTTGCACACTTGCATGCTTAGATCACATCTTGTATGCTTGTCACTCCCATTATTATTCCATATCTTGCATGCTTGCTCATTTAGGTTGTGCGCCTAACATGCATTGTGCATTACTTGCTTGCATGCCCATGTTGCATACTTAGTTAACATGCCTAGGTCGCATTGCATGAGCATACATGCCTTGCCTCTTGAATTGAGTATAATAGAGGTTGAGTTTCACTTGTTTGTTTGATGTACATCTCATTTGAAATCAAAGTGCATACTTGGTTTCTTGGGCCATCACGCATTGAAATGCGCGATTGGTGGTCCGAGAATCGAGAACCATGTCCCTTTGAGTCACCAACATGATAAGGGATGCGTTGGTGCACACATTTGCTTGAAATGCATTGCCATGCCATGTTTCGCCCTCTGCTGTTGCCAAAACAGGTTTCTGCAGGAAGATTTGGCCGGCCGGCCATCTCTAGTGCCGACCGGCCATCCATCAGTGGCCGATGGCTTAACCAGTAGCCGATGATCATTCCCCATGGCCGGTGGTCATTCCTTCTGGCCGGTGGTGCTCCACAGTGTCCATGAAGCATACCTTGGGAGTTGTGTAATTTTTAGAGGAGCAGAGCAGGAAAAACAGAGGCAAACTCGTGCATGGCGTTGGATTTCCGAGCAAAGCCGAGCATGCATGCATTCATTCCTCTTCCCGAGGCCTTTTACTACTTTCCATAGCTTAGTTAATTTATTAATTAACTAAGGGCTTGTAATATTTAATTAGCTTGTAGGTTAATTAAATTGTATATTCTTTTGGTCCCTCCGGGCGAGGGCGAATTTGTAATAAGAGTGGGTGCGTGTGTGTATGTCTTCCAACCCCACGTCTTTCTTTCCTTTTATTTACCCGCTTATGATGGTAGATTAGGGCATATTTAAATTAGCATACCTTATGTTATGCATGCGTGCATCCACACATTTGTCTTACATGCATCGGAGCTCGCACATCACTCTAGACTGCACTTGTATTTCAAATCCAAGTTGAGTAGCTTGTTAGTTACAGCATGGCGGCATGCCCATTTGGCTTTAGATAGCGAGCCTATTATAGTTGTCATATTTGCCATGTTGCTTGCATCTAGCCATCTTAACATGAAACTAGGATCATGCATATGATTACTAAACTAGCTTCTTGTTTGTGGCTTGGAGTACTCTGGTAAGTCTTTTGCTTTAGCATCCTTGCATGCGTGTGATGTTGCCATGAAGCATGATTAACCTATCGAGGCTCAGCTGCTTTATGTGATATTAACTGCTTGCATATGCCCTGGGATGGAGGTGAATTACCTACTTGGAATAATGCATTAAAACTGTGAGTTTTAAGCCGCAACTAGATAGTGAACATAGAGACACATCTTTTCTAAAGCACACTTGAGGGTGGCCAAAATCTGCATTTTAGCCTAACTTACAAGTAGCAAACCCATGTTTCAACAACATTCAATGTTTTGTTTCCAACATTTAGGGGCTGATTTTGGATGCTAAGTACTTGTTTGTTGTGGCGCGTACATAAGTAATTTTAGGGCAAATAACTTGGAATAAGAGCAACACATAAACGTTTTCAAAAATCTATCGGATATCTGGCTAGGTAGACGCGCCGATCTTCTCGGATCGAGCGATGAGGGGGTGCTCAATAGCTACCTTCCCAATTCGTTTACCCAAGTTCCCGAGCCGAGGCAAACTTTGGTGAACGGACACGTGCCTAATGGCAAAGAGTCAGGGTTTCCTAAATTTTTTCCAAAATAAAATATTTAGGTGGCGACTCTGTATCTGGCAAAGCAGTCCATGTTTGGCACTTCTTTCAAAAATCTATTTTCTCAAAACGATTTGCCAAATTTGGACTCTTTGGTTCAGATTAAGAACCGTGACACAAATTGAGTCCGAACTGTAGCACAAAGGCCTCACGCGGGCGCGTCTACACCATGCCATGTGTTGGTATTCAGAAAATACATCCCCACAGTGCCGTAATGTGAGGCAAGAATATTCACTTGGGTCGAACATCAATAAGCTTATTGAGTATATGGGATTTGCTAAACTTTTTTTAAGGATCAAATTTGGGTAATTATCTTTATAATTTGATTTGTTTATGTTTCTTTGCTGTACTGGAGCAACATGATACTCTGCTATCATTTTTTGTGTATCTAAGCAGTAACATCAAGTTGCTATCAATGTTGCTCCAATTTTTCTGCTTCAATTTTAGCCTGTGGAAATTAATTTTGAAAGATTGAGTTAATGATCTAAAAAGCTTAGATGCTGTAGTTGTTTTGACTATTACACATTGGTATAATCAATTAGAAGTTGAATATTATGATAGAATGATGTCCACCTTTCACCAGACCTTCCCCACCATGAGTAGATAATCGCCACATGACATTGCTGTATCAATCACTAATAGAAAACTCTAAATGGGACCGGTTGTGGACCCCTTGGTTTGTTATATGAGAGTCAAGATCGGTTCCACCCCTTCTCATTTGGGGCTTTCGATTGGTCGGTGTTATACTGATCTCCGGGTTTATTTTCTATTTTCATTTCAAGTGGGTTATGTTTGTTTATGTCCGTTGTTGCACTCTTATGCGGCCAATTCATGTTTTGATAAAGAACAAGTAACCATGGATTTCTCTACCTTATGCTAGATTTAATCCTATCATACGTCAAACACTGTCAGGTGCAGGTTGTGTTTAAATGATGTATTTTTTACTCTTCATTTATAGGGAACATTATGCATAAGGCTGATGTTTCTAACTGAGGCATGAGGTCTTACTCTTAGGAAGATTGAAATGTTAATATTATGTTCCCTTTCTAATTAGAAGTTCCAATGAAAGTGGGGTACCTAAATAAATTATTCAAACATAATCCTTATTTTATATTTTTAAGGCATGTAGAAAGTAAGATGTTTAGGGTGGAGTCTTTGTTGTGGACCTTGGCATTTGGAGTACTTTTGGGTTACCAAAACCAAAGAAACCTTCTAAGATACCATCCTATGATGATTTATCATAATCAAGATCATGGTAAGTGTAAATATTTCTAGAATTTTGAAGGAAAGAAAGGCTAAATCAATGAAAATGCCACATCTATTCTAATACAATGCCATCTCTCTCTCTCTCTCTCTCTCTCTCTCAAAAACACATGTACTCATATGTGGTATTGAACCTTGAATCTATGCTAACCTAGATAACAATTGAACTGTGCTCAACATTAGCATAATAAGGCTATAAACGAGTTGAAATGTTTATGAATTGCTCGTCAGCAGATTATTTGAGTTCCTTCTATATGTTTTCAAGCAGAGCTTGAGTCCAAATTGAATCTTAATTAAGGATCAGCTCGATTCATTCACTGCACTACTTAGTTTTCCATTCATTTGCAGCACCAAGTGTATATGATACTTCAAAAGGGACAATCAATAGATCAATCTATGGAGTCTTTCTCCCTCTTCTCTCTCTAAAAACCTCCTACCCCAGCCTCTCTTTTGGGCTGGCCGGCCCCCGCTTTTGGCTATGGCGGTCGGCTGGTCTAGCTCGTCTCGGCGGCTGACTTGTTAGTTTTTTCTTTCAATAAACTTGAGTCTTCCATCTTCCCACCTAGGTGTGTTTTTTGCTGCTGCGGGAGAGTTCTTTGGTGAGTAGGAGTTCCAGGTTTGTCATCAGTTGCCTTATTGTGTTTCAACCTTGCCGTTTCGGCTGATTCACCAGGGGAGTCCAGGAATTTCATTCGAGCGCTTTTGGAGTGTAGGAGCTTGAGGGGTGCACTCTGGTTCGTAGGCGATATAGCTCGTTCCAGTTTTCACTCGAGCGCTTCTCATCGAGTGAGAGTTTGAGGGGTGAAATCCTACCATATTTTTGGAGGTGTCCCAGCGGGTGGTCGGTGTTCGGTGGGTGTGGAGTTTGACAGTAGTCTTGGTGGCTATGGAGTTTGGCAGCAGCATGGGTGTGGGCTACAGCTGAGGCCTTGGCGTGGGTTCTGGGTGTGAGTTAAGAAGAAAACCTGGTAGGTGTTTTGTGGGTTTGTAGGTGTTGTGCAGGGGAGTTGCAGCAGCTTGGTGATGTCCAGCCATGGTGTTCGGCTATGAGGATGCAGAGGAGATGTCCTGCCATAAAGATGTTCAGTCATGGAGATGTCTCGGAAGGTGCAGAGGTGCGTGCACACAGGAGGAGTAGGTAGCAGGTGGGCGTGGTGTGCAGCAGGTGGGCGTTGGAGCAGCGTAGGCCTGGGCAGTAGCTGCAGGTGTTTAAATTTTGGGTTGCTGATTAGTTGGGTTTTCAGTTCGGGTTCAGTGGGAGTTGGTTTAGTTTTCTATTTTGGTTTGGGTGTTTTGGTGGGTTGTTTTTATGGAGATTCATGTATTTTATTTTTTTTTAGTTAAGTTCTTTTTAATTAAAAAAAAAAAAAAAAATTTGAGAGGCTTAGGGGTTGGTTGTATGAATGCGAGTAGCAGTAGTAGAGTATTTTTATACTTCCGAATCTCTCTCGATGCATGTCTTCTTCCTGTACCTTTAATTTCATGCTGTTAAATGAAATTTTTCTTTGCTGTTCAAAAAAAAAGTGTAAATATTTCTTGGATGGGGTATATAGTATTGGGTTTCTTTGAAATATGACCTATTTCTTCATTTTCCTTGTTGGTCATCATGATTCCTAGTTGGTTCACAATAGTGGGGATTTTTATATAGTTTTTGAGTTTGCATTTATGAACCTATGTTGGTGTTGGGACTGTGGCACCAACCATGTACCAGATGATCTATATTTGTTTTGGTGGTGTGGTGGGTTCCACTCTTGATGCAAATGATTTGAGTTCACTTAATGAGGTAAATTTGTTATTAAACATGGTTTATTTGGGGTTAGTCATCTTTGATTGCATTTAGGTGAGTAATTTAATTAGGCATTAATTCTAGGAGATGTTAATGTTGTAACAATCTTCTGTGTAAATGAAATAAATAGAAACAAAGCCAAACAAAATAAAATAAAACTTACAGAAATTATTTTGTTGAACCAAACAAAAAGTAAATGACCAAGTCGAGTATGTGACACTCTGTCCTTAAGACAGATTCGCCCCGCTACGATACTTACGGTTGAGTGGCGTCTATCTCCCAGGATACAATGATCTTCACAAATTATAGTAGTACTCCAAACAATTTGTTCGGCGAACAAAACCTGTGTTCTAACTCTCTGAATTTTATTCTAATACTAAAATGAAGAATAATGCACCAATGCACCAAAGATTACAAACTGGACAGCAAGAAATGTTTCAGACTGATTTTCCCGAGGGTCTAACACATTGCTAGTAAGTTGGTATTTATAGGCAACACGATCACCCGAACAGATGCAATACCGAAGTCAAACAGGTGCAAAACTATTCACTATTTGAATATATGAATTAACCGTTGGTCAAAACAAAATTTCAAACAAATTGAATAGTGACCGTTGGTCAACCAAAAGAAACAGTTAGGAACTCAAATCTGTTGCACTTTATTAAATAAACTATTTTGAATATAGATATATATATATATTAAACTATTGAATATATATGTTAAACAAATTGAATAGTTTAATAAATAAAGTAAGAGATACAAATTTTAGGAAACTACTTAGGAACCCAAAATTTGAATTTAGAATTAAATTAAATTCCCACAATTACAAACTTTAGGAAACCACTTAAGAACCCAAAATTTGAATTTATAATTAAATTAAATTCCCACAATAATTTTTATTGAAAAAATTCAAAAGAATTTTTATCTAAAAAATTGATGTTAAACCCGAAAACGACGTCAACTTCCCATTCACTCATAAATGGTTTTGACGTTCCGTTTTCACCGTGTAACTTGCCACGCGGTAAGGAACACGTCACCTCTTCGGACCCACCCCAAAAGACGTTTGGGGCCCACTCTATTTTAGGCTCAAAGTCGGTCCAAAATATGCCTTATATAAACCAATTTTTCAACAGTTAAAGGAGCAATTAAAAAACTATTGGTTATGAGGTCTTATCTTCTAGGTGTGCTAGAATCCAAAATATTGACTAATTCATTAGCTGGAGCTCTCTAAGTCTAGCATCCAAGGCAGTGAGCTCTTATATTGTGGATATTTGGTATTGCCAATGCCAACATTTAGAATGGTCATAATTAATGGGAATGATCACTACTAAAATTTCAGTTTTTTGCGACAGTAAAATGTCGTCGCTAATACTCTTAATGTCGATGACTTTTGCGACGGCAAGATGGGGGTTGCAATTGGGGGGGTTGCTAATGTTTTGCGATGGCATTTTTGCCTTTTGCGACGGCACTTTGCAGTCGCTAATAATATTTGAAATTTCTTGACTTTTTGCGACGACACTACTTTACCGTCGCTAAAAATGTTATTTGAGACGGCAAAAATTACCATCGCTAATAGTCTTTTTTTTTTGCAACGGCAAGAGCACTGTTTTTGCGACGGTTTGGTGTCGTCGCAAAAAGTATTAAAAATACGAAAATTTCTATTTTTTTGCGACAGTGTACTACCGTCGTAAAAAGTATTAAAAAAAATAAAATTTCTATTTTAAATAATAAAATTTTTATTTTTTGCGACAGTTTAATGTCGTCGCAAAAAGTTAAACCTATAACAAAATCAATAAAAATAATAAAATTTTCTGTTTTTTGCGACGACATAGTACCGTCACAAAAAAGAAAAAAAAAATCCTCTAATAAAATTATTAAACATATTAAAATTTCTCCATAATAATTGCATAATAATATAAAAATTCCTATATAAAAATAACAATTTCTTCATAATAAAATATTCTTCTATTCATAATAACACATCAACAAAATTATCCCACTACATAATGTTCCATAATACATATATAATGTTTAAATACATTATTTTGTTCATAAATCAAAATTAAACGTTTTTCTCATCATTCTTCGTAGATAACAAAAACAAAAGTTAGCCACATTCCGGAAAGGATACATCGAGTACCGGACCA